TGTCAGATTGACTGCTGAAATCTTCCCTCTCAAAATGGCAGTACCTGCTCCTATTTATAGCTGGAGAGTCCATGCGTGGGTGGGTAAATTACCATAACACACACACACACATATATATATATATATATATTAATGCATGTTTCATTAAATAATATAGACACGTTTTATCTATTTATTTTAAGTTCCTTTTCATATTGTCTGATAAGCTTAATAACATTATCATTGAAAGACGAAAGGAAATCAGCATATTGATACATGCTTAAATCTAATCTAAGCTTTCGGCTTACATAAGCCATTATCAAAGATGACAATTACTTTTCAATATATCAACCAATACACGGACGAAATAATAATGATAGTCTGTTTTTGTTGCATGAAAAATTTCAAAGCAACGACTAATTCGTGTATACGAGACGCGGAAGAAAAATTGTTGCAGAAGAAAAATTGCTGCCTTAATATATATATATATATATATATATATATATATTATACCAAATTCGCTACTCAGCGTTCATTCCATGGCAATAATTAAGCGGAACTCTTTTATTTAACAATTTAATCTTTTAGCTTATTTTAATATTTACTTTTTATTCTTACATCTATATAATATATGCCAATGTCGGTCTGTCACACGTTTTCAATTAAATTGCTATAACTCTTAAGAGCTCATCGCCTTCTTCTATATAATAAATGCCAATGTCAGTGTATCACGCTTTTTCAGTTAAAAGGATGCAACTCTCAATAGCTCATCCCCTCCTATATAATAAATGTCATTGGCAGTGTGTCATTGTATCACACTTTTTCAACTTTATTCCTAGAGACTGTAGTGCAACATATCATACCATTTTGGAATCAGGCTGACTCCGTGAGCCGATTAAAAACATTCCCGGCGGGATATGGAGCCGCAATATTGAAATTTTGGATTCCCAAGTTTTCATTACTGATTCTTTTCGGGGAGTTTTTACGTGATTTTTTTGCAAAGAATTCTTTTGTATGATAGAATTTTTTATAACTTGGAAATAAATTTGGGAGTAATTGAAATTAATTGCGAAATCTAGCAAAACTCACCCATGGAATAAAAATATTTTTTGTGCGGAAAGTAAGGACCTACGCACATCAAATTGTCTTTAAATTAAGTGGCGACAGAAGAATTAACGTTGAACTTCTAAAAGGTAAGCTGAAATAGTAACGCAATACTTAAATTCAGCGATCAATTTTGAGTTCTTTATTGTTGCCGACTGCATCTATTCCTCCCTACCTATTGTGAGGTAAGTCTGTCTAGTTGGGCAAGGTAGGCAGTGCCTACCCTGAACAAAACAGATCAACAACTACATTTCCCTTTCTTCTCTGTCGCCACAATATGCACCTGATCCAACAAATTTATGAAAGTTACTCTGATTATTATACATAAAATGTAAAATAATTTATTTGCTTGTAGATTTACGACATAAAGGTAACAAGCCACCTACACTGAGTAATTACTGATGGCAGTGGCCTGATATATATATATATTTTTAAAAATATGATTTAAAAAAAATATTATATAAGCTCTTCTTCTGTATTGAGCACTGTCTTCTTAAAAATAAAAACAAAAATACTAAAGAAACTCCGGATTATGCACCCAGCAAGTTCTTTTCTATTTTCTGAATACCTGCGCACTTATATATATATATATATATATATATATATATATATATGAAGAGAGAGAGAGAGAGAGAGAGAGAGGGGGAAGTCAATGGGAACGTAGAAATTGATTTGATAAAGTACGAAACTTCCAGTCACTGTGCAGTGTTGATTTCTGTCCACACTGTTTGTATCTGTAAACGCTCGATACTAGTTACTGATACCTCTTCCTTTATCAGTATAGAAAATTTCATGCAATTACAGTTCGAGCGTGTGCTGAAACATTCTCGGTCCGATCCAATTCCAAAATTTTGATTAACTTTCCAAATATCACAATTTTAATAATACTGTTTCCATTGTTAGGACAGTTGTCCTCGTCCTCGTTGCCATATTCACGATTTTTCATCCATTGTACGCTCCAATCTTTTTCAGCTGATTTCAGCACACATGGCCCAGTGCATAAAAGCGTTGGCCGAATCTAGTGACTTGACTCAAAGAGTTGTGAATTCAATGCCTGGTTACAGCTGAGGTGAGCAAAATTTGGAGAGTTGAGTTAAAAGGGTCATATACCGAGATAACCGGAAGAGGAGTGTCATGTGGAGCTAGAACAATCTACCCCGATGGACGGAATAACCGTTCAGTTCGAAATTCCAATCACCAGAAGATGTCCGGAGCGTACAAAGGCCGAAACCTCGTAAATATGGCAACTAATATGACAACAACAGTCTGAATAATGAAAATAGTGTAAACAATTAGAATACCTTATTTCAGAAATATAAACAAATCCTGACGAAGGCCGGATCTCACAGCGGTCGAAATGTCGTGAATATGGCAAGGAAAATGAGGACAACAGCCGAAACAATGTAAATAGCGTAAATAATTATTATTTTAAATCCCTTTTAATTGAGCTGATAATATTTTTTATCAGGTTCTTGCAAAATCTGCGACGAAGTATTGGTTTGACATGCTAGTATAGGGTGTTATTATTATTTCAGTTAGTTCGATGTTTACTGGGCTTCTTGCATAAATGACATTTTGTTAGATTTAACTTAGCAAAGACTATTTTTTCTACTTCACAGTTAATTTTTCTCTTTTTATTCTGCTAAGTGTCGGTGGGGGGGTGCAATGTTTATGTAAGAACTGTTTAATTTGTTAGGCAAGCTTGATATATTTGGGAGATATATAAGAATAACTCAGAACAGATTAGAGACGATGGATAATGTAAGAATAAAGGAAAGAAAAAGGAAAAGGAAAAGGAAAGAGGAAATAAAGAGAAAAGGATGAAGGAACGGAATCAGTAAAAATGGAAGAATGAAGTAAAAGAAAGTGAATGGTTGAAGAAAAAGAAAAAAAAAGACGAAAAAGAGGCAAAAAAAGAAAGTATTAAAAAAGAGACGAGAGGTAGGAGACCTGAAAGGAAAGAAAGAAAAAGGAAGAAAGAAGAAAGGAATTAAGGTAAAAAGAAAGAAAGAAAAAAAGGAATTAAAGTAAAAAGAAAGAAAGAAAGAAAAAAGGAATTAAGGTAAACAGAAAGAAAGAAAGAAAGAAAGAAAGAAAGACAGAAAGAAAAAAGGAATGAGGGAAAAAGAAAGAAAGAAAGAAAAAAGGAATTAAGGTAAAAAGAAAGAAAGAAAAATGAATTAAGGTAGAAAGAAAGAAAGAAAGAAAGAAAGAAAGAAAGAAAGAAAGAAAAAAGGAATTAAGGTAAAAAGAAAGGAAGAAAGAAAAAAGAAATGAGGGATAAAGAAAGAAAGAAAAAAGGAATTAAGGTAAAAAGAAAGAAAGAAAAAAGGAATTAAGTTAAAAAGAAAAAGAAAAAGGAATTAAGGTAAAAAGAAAGAAAGAAAGAAAGAAAGAAAGAAAGAAAAAGAAATGAGGGAAAAAAAGAAATGAGGGAAAAAAAGAAAGAAAGAAAGAAAGAAAGAAAGAAAGAAAGAAAGAAAGAAAAAGTAATTAAGGTAAAAAGAAAGAAAGAAAGAAAGAAAGAAAGAAAAAATGAATTAAGGTAAAAAGAAAGAAAGGAAAAGAAAAGAGGATGGGAGATGAAGAAAAAGAAAGCATAGAAAAGAAAAGGCCAACTCACCAGACTTATTAAATCTTTACAGTGAGTTCATACTGAAAGAATAAGAAGTCCTACCAGTATTAATTGTTGGCGGCCATACTCCAGACAACATAAGACAACGCAAATGTAAATATCTAAGAAGAGTTTTAAGAGAGGAGGGGGAATATGACAGCGAAAATCTCCGTTGGACTAGCAAAAGATGTCTACTGAAAGCTAAGGAAAGTTTTAAGAAACAGATAAAAATTTAGTTAGAAACAAAGAAAAGTGTAGTGGACAGTTATGGAATTTAGCAGTGAATACTGGACAATCTCCTCACAGATGAAGAAGAGACATGAGGCAACAAAAAGGAGGTTCTAGCGAAAGATGCTGAGAATACCATGGACTGAACATGTGATCAATGACGAAGTTTTAAGGGAAATGGAAACAAAATGGACACTTATACTTAGAATCAGAAAGAGAAAGTCGAAATTTCTTAGGCACATAATGAGAAAATTTTGATTCGAAAATTTGACACACACGGGATATATTGAAGGAAAGAAGGTTTGGTTTGGTTTGTTTACGGCATATCAACCTCAATGGGTTATTTAATGCCGGCAAAATTTTTATTGATGGTAATATATATATATTTTTAAATGTATTGCTGGTAATATTTTTTTCCTTTAGAAATCTATTTCTGGTAATATATTTTTCTTCAAAAATCTATTTCTGGTAATACGTTTTTTTCTTCAGAAATGTATCCCTGGTAATTTAAAAAAAACAAACTGTATTGCTGGAAGTAATGTATTGCTGGTAATAATTTTCTTACAAAGTATTTCTGGTATTAAAACCTATTTTACACTTTCATAGTGTTTTGAGCCCAGTTTTTGGGGTTAAATTTTTGCCCATAGTTGGGACCCTAAGTGGTGCTACCACCCCGGGTCTGGCTAGACCTGGGAAGACCAGCAATTAAGAAGTGGTTCCACGCTCCTCAAAACCTCCTGATCAGAGGCCTTGCTGTTGAACGTAGTTTATCGTCTTACTCAGGACGCGGATGTAGTTTATCGTCATACCCAGGACGCGGATGTAGTTTATCGTCATACCCAGGACGAAAGGCAAGAGGGACAGAGGAAAGCATCAGGTGACCGATATAAAGAACTTGTGTTATTGACTGGCGGATCTAGGGTCTAGGAGAGATAGTGAAAAGACATAATAGCTACAAAGTTCCGGAAGTTGTGGAGAGGCATAATCCCCCATAACCTGCAGAGACATTGTACATAGAATAAGAAGATACATTCTGCGATTGTTTTATTGTAAATTCTTTATGATTCTTTATTTAATGTTTCTTCTCTTCCTTTCTTCTTATTTCATTTCTTTTTCTTTCCTTACTTGCTGCTTTCTTTTTTTTATTTCTCCCTTCTTTCTTCCCTACCACTCTGCTTTTGTTTCTTTCTTTCACCAATCTTTCCTTTTTAACTCCCTTCCATTTTCTTTCTTCTTTTCTGTGTTCTTTTTCTTCTTCTGTCCTCTTTTTTCTTTTGCTTTCTTTCCTTTTAAATCCATTCGTTTTTTCTTTCTTCTTTTTCCTTTCTTTTCTTTTTACCACATCCAGGTCTCCTTCCTCCCGTCTCTTTTTAATACTTTCCTTTTGTTTTTTTGTCTCTATTCCTTTTCTTTTTTTCAACCATTCACTTCCTTTTACTTCATTCCGCCATTTTTACTTATTCTGTTCCTTCAGTTTTTCTTTATTTCTTCCCTTTTGTCTTTTTTCTTTCCTCTATTCTTACATTATCCATCGTCCCTAATCTCCTTCTGTCGTTTTTCCTTCCTTCCTTCCTTCATTTCATTATCAATATATCTCCACTTCCTTTGCTTTTCTTCTTGTCTTTTTTCTTCTTTGTTTTCTTCTTACTTTCCTTCTTTCTATTCTCGACGTATCCTTCCTTCCTTCCTTCCTTCCTTTTCTTCTTGCCTGTTTCCTTTGTTCGTTCTTTCTTTTCTTCTTGGCCCTTTCTTTTGCCTTTCTGACATTGTTTCTTTCTTCCTTTTTTCCTTCATTCCATTCCTGACACATCTACACTTCTCTTGCTTTTCTTCTTATCTTTCTTTTTTTTTCTTTCTTTCTTCTTTGATTCTTCTTTCTATTCTCCGCATATCCTTCCTTCCTTCCTTTCTTCCTTCCTTCCTTTCTTCCTTCCTTCCTTCCTTCCTTCCTTTCTTCCTTCCTTCCTTTCTTCCTTCCTTCCTTCCTTCCTTCCTTCCTTCTTCATGTTTTTCCAGTTTTGCATTTATTTTCTTTAATATTCGCTTTGTATCTATTTATTCTCTTTCCTCCTGAATATCATCATCTTTCTTTCGTTTTTCTTTCTTTCTTTTTTTTCTTTCATTCTTTTTCTTTCCTTCATTTATCATCATAATCTGCTGCATTCTTCTGTTAGAGTTCTCTTTTCTCACTTCTTCATTTACTTACAAAAATAATTATTTCCTTCATTTCTCTTTCACTTTACTTCAAACACATTACTTCCTTAATTCATTGATTCTTTCTTTCTTTCTTCGCCCATTTCTACATTCCTATAATATGTCTCTCTCTTCCTTATTTTTTCTTCTTTCCTAATTCGTCTCTTTCTTTCTTCCTTCTCATCAATTTCCGTTCATTTTTCTTCTTTTTTCTCTTGTTTTTTTTCTTCTTACATTTACTTCTCTCTTCCTCATATTTCTTTTTTCTAATTACTCTCTATTTTCATTCCTCCCTTTCTTCCTTCGTCGTTTCTATCTTCCTTTTTCTATCTGTTTTCCTTCGTCCCTTCGACATTTCATTCTTTCTTTTTCTAATTACTATCTTCCTTCCTTCCCCTTTCTTCCTTCGACGTTTCACTCTTTCTTTTTCTAATCACTCTCTATTTTCCGTCCCCCTTTCTTCCTTCGTCGTTCCATTCTTTCTTTTTCTAATTACTCTCTATTTTCCTCTCCCCACTTTCTTCTTTCGTCGATTCTTTCTTTCTTTTTCTAATTACTTTCTATCTTTCTTCCTCCCTTTCTTCCTTTGTCGTTTCTTACTTCCTTTCTTTACGAACATAATGTTTAATTTCATTGGCATTGTTTGGGATTTCAAACTTTCTTCATTTTATCATGTCGAAAATAAGAATCTTTTTTTCTTTTTTTTTTTCTAGAATACCTTTTCTTCCGCTTATTCGTTTTTCAATAGATTTCATCATGGCTAGGATTGTGGAACTATTTTTCCAAATTTTCCAGCATTACATCGTTTTAAGTAAACAATGAGAATCCTTACGCTCCTGCGGCGCTGATGGCTGACTGTCATTATTCGAAGCAACAAAGTCATTCGTCATTTCCGTTTTAGAGAAATTGAAAATAATTTTTTTTTTTTACTGCATTTTTTTTTCTGTTTCCATTTTATTTTCTCCAAATTTCTGAGTCTCGAACAAAGTCGACAATTACAAATCAATAAATAACGAATCAATAAAAATCTTATTCTTAATAAATAATCGATAAAAACTTAACGAGAAATTTTACACGTCCATATAACAAGGAACTTCCGAAATAAAATTGCCCAGTATTTGCTTCTAGCTGCATACACATTACCCTGTTGTATATTAGGGCAGATTGATTTTTCACGTTTTTCAGAAAATTGGACATTACACTCAATACGAACGCTGGGGTTTGATGGGATAAATACTGAAGCCAAAAAATAGAGCTTTTTCCAATTTCTGAGTACTTAGTTTTTTTCGTCTGAAAACGTGTACAAAAATATCTAATTTTCGCAGATTTTTGCTTAGAAACTAACTTCAAAATTTTACTACTTCAAGAATAAATGCAAAGAAAGTTGATATCTTTTATATGAGATATATTGAAAATATATTCTAACCAGAATTCTAATTCTGAATCATCACAAGAAAAATATGCATTTTTTTTTACAGTATTTGATAAGTGAAAACTTAGGCAAAAATTGAAAAAGATCATAAAAAGCTAATCAATGAAATTAATCTTGTAATTTGACATAACTAATTATGTGTTATACTGGAACACACCTATTCTATAGTTAATAGACTCTCCCACCTATAATAAGTAGTAGTAGTAGTAGTTACAGGAACGCGTCAGTTGCCAGTCGCTCAGTGAGTTGGTCAGTCAGTCGATGTCGGACGACCGTTAGTCGGATATTAAAGTATCAGCCACCACAACTAGATTTACTGTGTCATTACCTATTATATCAAGTTCCTAACGTTTTGTACGTCGAACCTGTTTTAGGACCGACTTAGTGAAATACAAGCCTCCACTGTGAAACTACTCTATAACAACTTGGCGTACGAGTGATTCGGATTCATACGGTGAAAGAAAAAAAATCGCTCGCAACATTATTTGGCGACGAGGAATTCGAACTCATACGGAGGAAGAAAAACTTTTCGTACTCCACAACATTATGTATTAATAAATTTTGACTTATCTAATGGACATTTTTACAGCTTCTTAGCTCACCGCTAATTCATCTTATAAGGTGAAAACATTGTGCTCTCATCTTTTTTAATACAATATTTTATATTTCGCTCGACTCTTACTTTATTATTTGGATCATGTTGAAGATATACAGCCGTTGGTTATGGAATTTATTATCCCCTTTAAAATAAAACCAACTCAATGCATATATTTCAATTATAAATTTTTTAAGTGTAGTGATACTAGCAAATTAGTATGCATAATTTGCATAAGCATAAGTGAACACTCATATAAGTGGTCACTGAGAATAACGAAGTAGAAGAACGAGTTTAGCGGCTTTAGTTTATAATAGATTAAATAAGTTTTTCACTGATGACCGAAATGAAATTCCAACGCTCTGATTTTGAACCTAAACTTAATCTTTAAACTAATTTCCTTAAAAAAACTGTAAAAATTTGAAAAAAAGAATATTTTGTCATTATTTATCATGTCAAAGCCCAACTTTCAAATTGAGTACAATACCATGCTTCCAAAATCCACCTGCCCTATTGTATATATATTCCATTCATAAACAGACAGACAGAGAGAATGTGTGAAAGTAAGCTAAGAAATGAAAAGAGGGCTACATTGTCCACAAGCACCGTACACCGGGTGTAACAGGAAAAGTGTCCAAATCTTGCAACACCAAAATTCTCCAATACTTAGAACCGTTCTATTGATTAAAGATATCTTACTGGAATTCTCCGAGGTTTTTTATAACACTATTGTATTCTACTTTGAACAATAAGAATGCATTTAGCTCTATGTTGAAATGATGATTCCTCTTCCTGTTGTGACATCCTGACCTAGTTTTAATCTCTACGGTTTCCTCTTTTTTAAACGTCTCCCCCGTTCTCTTGATGGTTATTGCATGAACATTGAAGATGCAAGCCAGAGTATGAATGTTCGTAGCATTATTGAAAGCCTTGATGATCATTTTCCTCTCACCATTGCTCAGTTGGAAAGACATAGTGCGGCTGACACAAAACGATTTTAACCTGTTCTCTCTCTAGCTGAATAACTCGAAGGGTTTTTCAGAGAGTCTTACGACAAATGGCGTGAATATGGTTACAATTATTATCTGAAAACCTGAGGAAAAGAAACTCATTTAGTTTAGTGGTTTTTTAGATATTAGATATTTTGTGGGATGGACAATTATCCGTTGGTCATATACAATTTGGACAATTTCGCTGTTACACCTGGTATATATCTATATGCTAAGATCATGAACAAATAGGAAACATTTATCAGTCTAAATATTAGATTGATAAACATTTCCTATTTGTTCTTTATTTTATCATTCTGTCGAATTCCAATACCTATTTAATCTATATTTAATCCTAACACACACACACACACACACACACACACACACACACACATATATATATATATATATATATATATATATATATATATATATAAGTGAACAATGAAGTTAACACTTAGTGACAAGCTGTTTTCATGCTAGGCGCAATCTTCCGTGCATAGAATACTGCTGCTATATCTGGTCTGGTGCTATTCATCCCGAGGTTCTTGACAAAATCCAAAGAAGGGCCTGTAATGTAATCGATTGCGTCTAGCATGAAACAGCCTGTCGCTTCTAAGTGTTGACTTTAATGTTCACTTTTATATTTACACACGGTCTATCTCTGATATTGAGCACTTTATCTCATAAATATAGCACACCTTAAGAGTATATTTCTTCATATATATATATGATGGTATGTAAGATGGACAAAGTTTATATATATATATATATATATATATATATATATATATATATATATATATTAAATAATTATTTACAGTTACCATGTAAATATTTGTAGAAAAGACAGAGAGAGGGCCACGCTACGTCGGTAAAAATGATTGAAGCCGAGATGCCAGGTCAGGATCGATTACATTAGAGGTCCTTCTTTGGATTTTGTCAAGAACCTCCGGGATGAATAGCACCAGACCAGATATAGGGAGCATTATTCTATACATGGATGAATAGCTGATTTGTGAATGTGCAAGATGGACTCTGACGGGGAAAAAATTTCTGGCACGACACAGTAACCCAACTTTCCTTGCAGTAGATTCAGCTATTTTTATTTTATTTATAGCAAGTGTTTTTGTTTTTTTCCGATATCTTTACTCGGTTTCCGCCGTTCGATATTGTGCGTCTGAAAAATATCACATTTATCGTGGTCGCCATCACCTCTTGGCATTTTGGGCCTGAGATGCAATAACAAACTAAAACCATTTTTGTGCCCGAACCCACGTAAGCGAGGGCTGGGTAAAGTTTGACCATGTCAAAATGCTCGGTTCCCCGCGTTAAACAACACCTTATTCCGCATTTTAAACCGAGTGGATGTTGCCCAGGTGAATACCTCGCTTCTCGGCCTTGTGGATGGGATCGAAGTGTAGTATCTGCCCTCGGTTGGATAAACTGCATTTGATTAAGCATTTCACCCCAAGCAAGGCGGGAGTGGCACTAGCACGCAAGGGGTTACAGAGAGTGCGAGCAAGAGTAAAAAGACATGATAGAGGAAAGGATGAAGAGAAGGACAGGAATAGATCAAGGTATCTTGATATATATATATATATATATATATATATATATATATATATATATATATATATAACACCCTAATGGAGTCTGCTACAGAGGTACACTAGAGAAAAGGAGCTGATTTCCTTATTAACTGGCAGATATATATATAAACAAGACACAGCCGATATTAATTTCAACCGATATGGTATGACTGTTTAATTTTTCATTTTATTTTCTGATTTTTGAATAAGTTGTTTATTGACCTAACTTGTGAATAAACTATCCAAAATTCAGGCTTATGTATGAGTCTTCTAGACTGTCTCGGTCATAATCAGTAACTAAATGTTATCAGTGTCGTAGATACCATTTTTGTTATCTATATGCTGACATTTTTTTCTTTTAGTGGAGAAGTTACATTTTAATTTAGATTTAAATACACAGAAGCATTCGTGTAACATCATTTGTAGAACGGTTTCACTGAGTGTGGTACAAAAAAAAAGCGGAGACATTATATATTTTATAGCCATCTCTATAAATATATGTGATTGTCAGTGTGTCATACTTTTTCAACTTTACTCTTAGAGGCC